CAGCGGCACCACCACTTTTCGGTGGCATCAGCAGGGCGTACTTGCTCGGTTTGCTGCTGTTTGTTCCACCGCTGGCATTGTGGCTTTTCGAGCCACTGCCACTGCCACTGCCCAACTCGCTCTTGACGGTGGTGTAGGGAAAGCGAAAGAGCAGCTTCTCGCCGTTGCAGTCCGACTTGACCAGAAAGACGCCCAGCGGAATGGTCTCGTCCGACTGACCGGCCGGGGCCATGGCGGTCGACGACGTCGTCATCGTAGAGCTCATGGCATCTTCTTTTTGGGAAGTGCTTGTTGTTTTCGGGTTCGGGGGTTCGGGGAGTTCTGGTTCGGGACACCGGGACACTGCGTCGAAGAACAGAAGACAGAGAAATGCGTGGAGAAAGAGCAACAAAACAAACAAACACACAGTGAGACTGCTGCTGCTGCTGCTACTGCCGTTCTGTGGCGGTGGTGGCGCTGCTGCAGCTGCTGCGGCTGTTTGCACTGACCAAGTTGTCCTCTCTCACTTTCAGATCATCAAAACAAATCGAGTCAGACTAGTGAAATCAACTGAAGTCCACTTCGAGGATGAGTGAACAGGAGGAGAAGGAGGTGGTACAGGCGGAAGAAGAAGAAGTCCCAAAGAAGCGACCTCGAGGACGTCCGCGTCTGAGTGACAAGGAGAAGCGGCAGCGCGCTCTGCGACGGCTGAAGATCTTCTACACTGATGACCAGCTCGAGGCAGAACTCGAGCAGAAGTTCTCTGCCGCAAAAGGTGATGATGATGGTGATTCTGCAGATAATGGTGAAGATGATACTGACAAAAGCGAATGCGAGCAGGCCCTCCGTTTGCTGCGCCGTGCTCGCCAGCGGCACTACCGCTCCGACCTGGACGTCCAGGAGAGGTACAGAGCTAATGCCAGCTGCCTGAAACGGGACTACCGAGCGAGGCTAGTCGCCGCCGCCGAGTATGATGAGCGGGCAAGGGAGAAGCTGGCGGAGATTCGCTCGAAGCAGAGTGCCCGCAGGAAGCTCAGAATCCAGAATCCAGCCTTTCGGGAGAAGGAACGAATGCAATCAATGCTCAAACATGCGTCGAAGAAGCTCTCCAGGGAGGTAGGTGGCATTCTTCGGTGGCACATTTCTATTACCTAACTCTGATCACGTATTTTTCCCGTTTCCCAAACAGGACAAAGAGGAGTTGGAGCGGACGCTTAGCCGCCAGTGTACCAATCCACTCCCCTCGGAACCGAACATCTTTGGCTACGAGCCCCTCTTGTAGAACTTCAGCTTCAGCTTCACTACCGCTACATCTTTCCGGCCAGTAATCATCATCCACTGGTTGGATCATCCCCGCCCTAACGCCTCAACACCTGATTACTCCTTTTCCTTACTCTGTGATTCACCACCACCGCCGCCTCCATCCCAATCATTCACCACACCTGAACGACGCTGGTAATGACCACTCAATGTTCACTGATTGTACTTTACAAGAGGATGAAGAAGAAGATGAGCCACCAAAAAGAAAGGGAGGGCAACCTTGAATCGGTTGCGTGCTCTGACGGTGGCAGACTGGTGGTAACTTTGAAATTTTGTTTACTTTCCCTTTCCACTGATTATTGCCACCACCACCAGCACCGTCTCCCCTTGCACTCTCTTTGTCCTAATTAAAGATCAATTAAGCATCAAAGTTGGGCAATCAGCGGCAGCAGCAGTACCCTTTCNTTTCCTTACTCTGTGATTCACCACCACCGCCGCCTCCATCCCAATCATTCACCACACCTGAACGACGCTGGTAATGACCACTCAATGTTCACTGATTGTACTTTACAAGAGGATGAAGAAGAAGATGAGCCACCAAAAAGAAAGGGAGGGCAACCTTGAATCGGTTGCGTGCTCTGACGGTGGCAGACTGGTGGTAACTTTGAAATTTTGTTTACTTTCCCTTTCCACTGATTATTGCCACCACCACCAGCACCGTCTCCCCTTGCACTCTCTTTGTCCTAATTAAAGATCAATTAAGCATCAAAGTTGGGCAATCAGCGGCAGCAGCAGTACCCTTTCGATCGGGTACATCCACCACCACAGCTTTTGGTGAGTTCGTGATAAATGGCAATCGTGACAGCTCGAGCGGGGGCATCGAAGCGTGGAGCACATCCGAGGCAGNTGTCGGGTACATCCACCACCACCACCACTTTTGGTGAGTTCGTGATAAATGGCAATCGTGACAGCTCGAGCGGGGGCATCGAAGCGTGGAGCACATCCGAGGCAGTTCTTCTTCTACTTCTTCGTCGATGGCTATAAAATGGCAATGAAGTGGCCTCCGGGAGGAATCTTTGCTTTTTGCTTTACTCACCAAAAACTTACCAAAACAATTGACTAATAAAAGATGGCCGCTCTGAAGTTTCTTCTCGCCGTCCTCGGCCTCGTCCTCCTCGCCGATCTGTGTAAGTATAGCCTCTACCTGTCTTGAGAAAGCTGAGCAAATCTGTTCATCCCCAAACCTTTTCTCCCCTTCCTTCCAGGCCTGGGCGCGACCATCCGCGACGGCATGGGCCGTCAGATGGACTTTGACCCGAACGCGGAGCCGGCGCTGCCCGATGATGGCGCCCCGGTGGTGCCCCAGTCACGGGGCTTCATCCAGCGCATCTTCGAGATGATCAAGAACTTCCTCGGAAGTAATAAGTTTATTGAGCTGGCGATCTCTCAGATACCCAATGTGTTACACCTTATCTATTCGTCTTTCAGTGGGTGACACCCGAACGACGGTGATGCGCAGTGACGGCACCATCGAGGAGGTGGACCTGCCGGGAGGCAGCAATGGAGGCGGCGGATTCATCAGTCGCATCGGCAGGCGACTGATGGGATTCATCAACACCATCCTCTCCGTCCTTACTGGAGATGGAGGTTCGCCACGACTGGACGGGTACTCGGCTCGAGGTGGAACGCAGGGAATCAGCAATGACATCGAACGGGAGCTGATGAAGATGGCCAGAGGAGCCTAGGAGGAAGAGGTAACACTTTTTAGAACGAGTCAGAAGTCTTCTGGACTCTGTTTGTACTTTAACTTATCATTAAAGACTACAACTTTACCGATGAAATCCACTTTGATTGTTTACAAATCGTTCGGAGAAATCGTTCAATGTCGGTAGGCTTGTCAGATAAACCAGAAAACCAGATTTTTCAGGTGTTGCTCGAAGAGTACGTGACGCGGATTTAGCGCCACCAGTTGCACTTGGTGACTTTTGGAACTACAGCTTCGCCGCTAGGGTCACGAGATGGCGACACTTCTGCTGTTACATTTTCTGCAAACAGCCCCCACTCAGTCTGACTATCTGACAGGCCTACATTTGAAACAGTACACAAAACAGTGCTTTGTAAATTGTTTACTTTTTGCCGGTAATTACAATAAATATGTATAAACTTCCTGCTATCAAGGTGTGTGAAGTGTGGGGGATGGGGGTGTCAGCTAATTCACAGAAAAGAGAGGAGTATCCATCCATTGTACAACAGCATCTCACTTGCCATCTTACGCCTGCTGAGCGACCTTTCCGCCGTCTCTGGCGATTCGCTTGGTGTTCTCCTTGGTCACCGCCTGGACGCACTTGGCCATGGTGGCGGAGGCGCGCGAGATGACGTCCGTCTGGTAGTAGTCCGCCAGGTCGCGCATCACCGGCACCAGCTTTCCATTGCTGACCACCTTCGGCTGCTGATCACCTCCACCTCCACTTCCCTTCGTCGGTGGTTTGGCGGCCTTGTTCAGCACGTTCTTGTTGTACTGCACCAGGGTGGGCGAGAGGACGGCCATGCGGTCCCTGAGCTGGACCAGGTTCTCGTAGGGCAGCGTGTGGTTGGCCAGCTCGGAGACGGCGCGGATGATGTGCCAGTCGACGCGGGCCAGCGAGGGCGGCGTAATGGCCGCCAGCGTCTGCTGCGCCCGCCCCTCCATGTTCAGGTAGGTGCCCTGCTTCTCGGTGAAGGCCGCCCCGGGGAGGACCAGGTCCGCCTGGTTCGCGCCCATGTCGCCGGTGTGACCCTGAAAGAGAAAGAGGAGTTTTAGAAAAACAAAGAGTTTTAGTAAACAACAAAGACACTGCCTACCTGGTAGACGACAAAGCAGTTCTTGGGAATGGGCAGGCGCTGGTCGTCGACGCCAAAGAGCCAGAGCACCGCCGGCTGCCCGTTCTCCGCCACCTTCAGCTCCGAGCTCGGCTTGATGCCCAGGTCGAGGGCGGCCACCTTCGAGGCGGAGGTGTGGAGGACGTTGAGCTCGGCGCCGTACTTCGCGGCGATGGCCTTCGCAAAGTCGTACGCGTTCGACTGACCGCCTCCCGATTGCTTGAGAATCTGCTNAAAGAGCCAGAGCACCGCCGGCTGCCCGTTCTCCGCCACCTTCAGCTCCGAGCTCGGCTTGATGCCCAGGTCGAGGGCGGCCACCTTCGAGGCGGAGGTGTGGAGGACGTTGAGCTCGGCGCCGTACTTCGCGGCGATGGCCTTCGCAAAGTCGTACGCGTTCGACTGACCGCCTCCCGATTGCTTGAGAATCTGCTGACCGAGGATGACGGCGGCCCGCTTCGCAGACTTGAGCTTCGCCGCGAGCGGGTGCGAGCCGCTGAGGATGGCGGCGAGGGTGTTCACGTCGTCGCCGGCCCAGGTGTAGTCGTAGAGGAGGTCGAGGTTCTTCGGGCCGACGAGGGCAATGTCGTTGAGGGTGCTGGCGCGCCAGGCCTTGCGGATGCGCGCGTTGACCAGGGGCGCCTCGAAGCGAGGATTGGAGCCGATGAGGAGGACCAGGTCGGCCTCCTCCAGGTCGGCGATGCCCGTGTTGAAGAGGTAGTTGTAGCGCTGGTCGAGGTCCTTCGAGG